AAGTTGGTATGACAAGGAAACATCTGTTCAAAACTCAGCTGTTTACATAATTATGAAAAGATGCTGCTTGACATCACAGGACTATCATTTCTGAAATAATATATTGGCTCTGAATTAAAAGCAACCCAATAAATTGTGATGATAGATTGGATGGATGGATGGATGGATGGATGGATAGACCGACCAAACTTTCAAAATGTTAAGCTTTCTATTGTCACTGCAGGGACATTAATGGAAGTTCTTGATTAATTAGATGTTAAGTGGTATTTCACAACACAAGATCTAAAATCAAATATAAAGATGGCGTAAGAGGGGAAAATGCATACATTTCATTTTAGAATTCTATATTTCTGAAATACGGGTACCAAGGGTAATATGATTTCTTTGTGGTTTTTCATGTGCAAGATGTTGGGACTTTTTATGTATAAGTCTTGGTGAGCATCTCTCCTTTATTTATTTATTTACTTAGGCTTCTATACTACTAAATGCCCATAAGCACAAAGCAGCCTACAGAGCAGTCTAACTAGGGTTAAAAGAGATATTAAGAGAGCCAACTGTTTAGCTCCCCACTAACCATGACAGTGTTATCCTGAGGGAGGAACCAAACCTCCATATGTCCAAATGCTGTCTTGTGTTCTTTATATTATCAGCTTCCAAAATAGAAATACAAAAAGGAAAAAAAGGCATGAGCAACCTTTTCATATATGCCTTTAATGGTCTGATTTGGGCTAGGCAACCATTGAAAGGTTTCGACTAGGGGACAAATCACCTTCGTTCACTGTTGTAAATACTGCATGTGGGACATGGAGGAGGAGAGAGAAGGAAGATAAAAACCGAAAGTGATGAAATCCTCCAGTCTTCACAAAAACTACATCGCAGTCATCATCATCATCGCTACCACCAAAATTTTCACATGACATCCCCCCCAAAGCCCCTCACTCTTTAAAAAGAAGAAACAGATTCTAATGTATTCTATCTACATGATATCTATATTTTCCCCATTCAGGAAATAATGGAATTAGGGGAAGAAGATTGGGATTTTTAAATGGGGCTGCCTAGATATTTCAGCGGACACAGAATGCAATGGCACTGTACAGTATATTACATTTCTGCTCCACAAGCTGCACTAATTGCCAATTTGCTTCCTAGTCTCAATCAAAATATTGGGTTTGACATTTAAAGCCATTCATATCATAGACTGAACTACCAGCCCACCTTGTTCGATCTGGCAGAGAAGGCACGCTGCAGTTACTATCACTAAGGATCTACATTTTTGGGGTTCTAGGAAATGGGCCTTCATTCTCATAGTGTCCATTTTATGAAATAGTCTTCCTCCTGGAATTAGATTAGCTCCACCCTTTTTGACATTCTGGAAGGCCCTCAAGGCCTGGTTTAAGTTATCGGGCTTGGGGCTCCCTCAGAAGTGGAGACTTGCTTACATGGCTCCATTGCTGAGCTGATGGAGGCTTTAGTGAGGCCTGTGCACATGGATGGGGGGGGACGTGGAGGGTTTGTGCACGCATGCATGGGGGGAGGTCACTGCATTATGGGTGTGGGCATGCACATGTGCGATAGCACCTGAGCAGGAAAGTGTTCGCCATCAGTGAAATAGATGCTCCCTAATAGTATACTGTAGTGGTTAAGGCACCAGGCTAGAAACCAGGAGACTGAGAGTTCTACTCCCACTTAGACACAAAGCTAGCTGGGTGACCTTGGGCCAGTCAGTCCTCAGCAACTTCTGAAAACTTTGCTAAGAAAACTACAGGAATTAATCCAGGCAATCCCCAGAAGTCAAAGCTACACATATACACACGCACAAAGACAGAAACACTTGGTTGAATAAGTGAGAAATACTGTTATAGAAGTCCTGTTACTGGCTCCTTTTGCTTCTTAATTTCTCAATCCAAGAGGCATAAATGAATATTACAAGATTTTTAGAAAAAAAATCTTAGAAAAATATTTTTGCACCATTTTTAAGAATACTGAGTTTTTAAGAATACAGTTACTGTATATTAGTCAGCTACAATGCGCTAGGGCAGGCGTGTCAAACTCGTATCTTCATGACATCACCACATGACGTATCGGGACTTTCTTCCCTTCACTAAACTGGGCGTGAGCATGGCCAGCATGTGATACATCCAGGCCACGGGTCACGAGTTTGACAGCCCTGTGCTAGGGTATCAACTGTGTCATTTGATAATGCCATTGTTCCTGGGACTCTCTAGGTCCACTTCTGCATAATTTAAGATGAGTTCCTTAAGGTGGCTGGGTTGCCTCAGTACTTCTCTGTTTTCACTACTCAGTAAATTCTTACTGAAGAAAAAACATCTACAATACCAAGAGTAAAAAGACTTTGATGTTATACTGACATTAAATAAAATTCTATTAATCCTTATAAATAGTGAAATAACCATTTCCATTTACAATTTATAAAAACTAAAATACCTTAAATCAAATCACTATTTGTAAATCACAATAATGATAACACAATAAAAATACATTTTTACACTACTATTATACATTTGGAATTGTGTGAGGTTTTCTCCCTCTTTCTTAATTCAATTTGGTAAGCTAGCACTACAACAAAATGATTCCTCAGGTAAATTGCCTTTTCTATGTGTTTCTTATCATAGAACTACAAAATATTTCCTTTTTGCTGGCTCCATCTAATGGCTAATTCTGATTTTGCAATCGTGACTTTTTATAAGCTTTTAAGACGTAGCTTCAAAAAACAACTCTGATGAAATTTATTTTCAAATCTGCCACATGGAAACATTTTCTACGAACTATTTATCTCCTTATAAACATAGTTTCAAACTATTAAAATAGTGGTTATTTCAATACTGAATTGTACAAATATTATAAAACAGTCATTTGATTTAAAAAAAACATATATAAAAACTTATGAATTTTAATATAGTAATGAATCAGTAATAACAGCAAAAACCTGTATATCAAAGTAGAAAAGTAATACACATATGTATCATATAAAGTTTTTCTCCTTGAGCAAGTGCATCTGATTCTTAAATATTTTCCCATAAAACTACAGCTAAATATTTGTCAGTGAAATGGCATGGACTGTTCTTTCTTTGTCAACGCTGCAACAGTCTGACTGTATCTCATATATTTATAACATGTCTTCTTGCAGTAATGAAATTGCATAATGTATGTTTTGCATCCCAAACATCCTGCTGGCTTAGTATTTATGGGTGAAGAATTATGAACCTAGTCACAATATTTTATGGGAATGCATGTTTTATTATGCAGCATATCATTCCCAGATAATGAAAACTTCCTTGAAATAATAAATATTGCTGGTTTATTGGGAAACAGATCACTGCATAAATTGTAAGGTTCAAAATTACAGTAGATAGGAATATATTTTCCACATGAACTTGAAAGTATAATCCCAGTGTGATGAAGACCCATCTGTCATATCTGAAATTAACTCTAGGTTGGCTGCAACAGCTGCTCTGTTTCATTAAGTTCAGTGTCAAGCGGTGTCCTTCTGCAAATATAGAAGGAAGTCTTAACAACTAGTTTCTTCCTCACCCAGCTATGTAGTTAAATGTTGACATAATTTATTCGATTGTTTACTCTTTGGTTTATTTCTGCTGTTGCCAACTGCTCAAAAGAGGGGAGAGCTGTTAATACAACCTACCCATCGAAAGAAAAAAATCTAGCTTAATCTCCTTTGTAGGATGTTCTATGATGGGTCTTCAAGATGAACTCACTTCAAAGTTGGGTTGCTCCCGGTTCGCCCTGGATCGGATGAGCCGTTAGTAGCAGCAGTGGGAGGCTCCACACACCCACCTGGATGCTTCTGCGCATGCGCAGAAGTGGTGTGCGCCAGAGCGGCCCAAACTGGTAGTAGAAAAATTGGCAACCCACCTCTGACTCGCTGGTCCATCTAATCCAGATCCTTGCTAGAATAGTCCACCTCAGTACATAGACCTAACTATAGTAACTTTCTGCTACAGAAATTAATACACTTTCATAACTGTGTGCCTCACTACTTTCTTTTGTATGCTAGCTTTATCATTTTGTCAATAATTTTTACTTATTTATAAGACTCTAAGGCTGATTCAGATTTGTGCATATACTTTCCACAAGAATGTTTACCATGCTAGGCCTAAGAGGTAGCGAAGGAAAGAAGGAAAGCAGACTGAATTGTTTGATTTCCAAGCATGTCAATACTTTATAACCTTATAAACTCTCTCACTTCAGATCAGAGGAATAGGAATGGTGACAGCTTATTTACATTCTTTAAAACCTGTGCAATCCTCTTGTGTAAGGAAGTGGGGAAATGGCTAAAAAGAGTCCCTGAAAGAAGTCATTTCAGGCACCCATATTCTGAGGGAAGAACTTTTTGAAGCAGCTGTAGATGCCTTCTAAAAGAAAACAGGGGTTACTTGTTATGCTCCCACATGTTGTAAAGACCCTCTTTAATAGCAATAGCAATTAGACTTATATACCACTTTACAGGGCTTTTACAGCTCTCTCTAAGCAGTTTACAGAGTCAACATTTTGCCCCCAACAACCTGAGTCCTCATTTTACCCATCTCGGAAGGATGGAAGGCCGAGTCAACCTTGAGCCTGGTGAGATTTGAACTGCCAAATTGCAGTCAGCTGAAGTAGCCTGCAGTACTGCATTCTAACCACTCTGCCACCGTGGCTCATGCTCTGAATAATGGTCTGAATAACCTAACAAATGTGATTCACTGCCTTTAGGCTCCATTATACGGAGATCTCAGGTTTAGAAGAGGTTACTGTGGTAGAAGGAATAATCATTCACATGAGAGACGAGGTTATAAGGGAAAGAGATGCAAAGTTAGCACCTGCACCCCCCAATGTATCTGAAAATAAAGAGGGAAAAAACAACGGTGAAAACATTTCCTAACAAATTTACCAACCTGATAAAGAACTTTCTCAACCTTGGCAACTTTTAAGATCTGTGGGCTTCCATTCCCAGAATTCCACAGCCAACACACTGGCTATACCAACATGCAGATCTTAAAGTTAGCAAAGTAGAGAATGACTGCTTTAGCCTTTTCTTTGTTAGCTGCCGGCAAGCAATAATATTGTTCAAATATGCTTCATTTCTCTGTTTGAATAAATACCTCCGCATCGTATTCCCAAAGTTGATTTCCTCTCATGTGATGGCACTTCAGCATAATTACAGGCCCATTGAGCCTAGAGACATCCATACATAAATCATCTGTGCGAATTTCCTTGTCGGCAGTGTATGAAAATACCTGGAAGAGAGAGGTCCTGTTGGTAAAATAACAGCTAATGCTTAAGAGAAAAAGTTAGCACAGACGTGGAAAGCATATAGAAAACACATATTTTGTTTCAAACCTGGCAACTCCCATTTCATTCATTGTCTAGCCATTTCAATGATTGTGAATGCACATGAAAGATTTCGGCTTTGACCTCAGGTGACAGATCAGCAGTAGGGAATCTGTATGTTGTTTCCTAACCTGTATTATGTACAGATAGTCTTCATGTAATAACCACTCATTTACTGACCATTTGAATTTATGACAGCGCTCAACAAGTAGTATATATAACTGGTTCTTCTTGTTGCAGCTGTCACAGAATTTCTGTAGTTATGCGAACATGATCTGGGCTAGTGACATGCAGTCAGAGGAGGCAGGGGAGGCACAGCCTCACCACTGTCAATCATGAAAAGGAAAAAAAAAATGTAAATGGGAAAAGTCGAGTGCTGAGGTTAGGCTAACTAGCTGCTGCCACACCGTGAATGACTGCCTGTTAAAAAAAGCCTCTAAAAAAGCAACCTCTACTAAGAGGCAGGAGAACTGCATGCCTCTTCTAGTCTGACCTTTTAGGTGCTCGAGCAGAGTTAAGGGAGGGTTAAAAGCCTAAAAAACCCTGAGGTAGTTGAGGCCCGTAG